CACCCGGGGGCCGCGCCCCCCCCCCCGGCCCCGCCACGTTGCCAGGGAAACAAACGGGATCCGGAGAGATGGAGCCGAGCAGCAGACGCGAGGCAGGGACGGGGACAGGGACCGTGGCGCCTCGGGGGCCTCGTCAGTAGCTTTGAGGAGGAAGGACTGCAAAAAAGGCTCGGTGTGGAGGGAAACACGGCAGAACGCAGCCAGCAGCGCTCCACTTTTTAAGCTCCACTTACCTCTCCCACTGAGTGCATTTAGACCCATGCTTTAAGTCCAGGGTTTCTATTTTTTCCGCCCAAAGAGGCGGTGCAAGGGGACACAGGAGGCACAAACCCTGCGTCGCTCAGGGCCCAACTTGGACCCGCAGCAGCCGCGGGCTGCCCCGCACCAGGAGCTGCAGCTACCCAGGAGCTCATGTGCACTGCGTTACTTACATTTAAGTGCAAGCAATTACACTTAAATGAGCCCCTGCCAATCAAACCCCAAGCAATTAATGAGAATTAAGTATGGTTTTGTTCAAGCCCTTCCTAGTATGAGCAGCACACGTTTGACCCCGGAGCGATGGCTCTAGCTGCCTTGTCCCTGCACAGGTGCCCTCTTTAGGGCTGCACTAGCTGAGCTGCTCCATGGGGAGGATCCCTAAGGAATTGCTCCCATGAGGACTCGGAGCAGCCTTGGGGCTTGCAGGGGCTCTAGGTGTGAGGGTGCAGACCCAGGGCTGTTGCTGCTGCCCCTCTTTGCTTCCATCCAAAACGCTTCCCATTACCACAGAGGAGGATGCGCTGGGTTGGGAAGGTCTCGCTGCAGCCAAGAGGACCCGTCTGTCTGTCTGTCTGTCTGTCCATCCATCCGTCCGTCCGTGCCATCCTCCTGCTCCTGTGCGTCGCCCTCGCAGCCGGTCTCCTGCCATCCCTCAGCCCCATCCCTCTCCATGCAAGGGAAGGGTCCCTGCAGAGCCCGGATTGGGGATTTATCCCCTTCCTTCCCGCCCGGCATCAGGCCGTTCCCACCTGTGGCTGCCCCCAGCTGGGCTTGCTCCCCTCCTGCAGAGCTGGGGCCAAAGTGCCCCATTTTTGCCATCAAAACGTCCCCCCTCCTTTGGTATCAGCATGTCCTGGGGGCCGTGACACCCTCCTGCTGTGAGGCCTCTCCTTGCGGAGCTGCCGTGCTCATCCCTGCGGGCACGGGACCCTCCGCGCATCCTCCTGCCCTCTCTTTGGGACCTGGCATCCTGCCCGGGATGCAGCTCGTCCCTGCATCCCACAGGATGCTCCGAGATGGAGCCAGGCTCCTGGCCACCCTGAGCTGCGGCTCGACCCCATGGTCCTGCAGGGATGCTCCAAGCTGGATTTGCATCCCGTCGACCCTGAGTTGTGGCTCAGCCCCCCCAATCCCATAGGAATGCTTGAGGCTGGATCTGGGATCCCAGTTTTCCGGGCTGCAGCTCAGCCCCTCCATCCTGCAGGGAAGCTCCGGGCCGAGGGCACCTCATCCCCCCCGCGAGCCCCTTGGAGCCGTCGGGAGGAGGCGCCCGGCCCCGCTCCCGCCCTGGAAGTGGGTCAGGAAGGTCTCCATGGAGATGCGGGAGCGGCGCCGGAGCG